AGGTATTTTACATTCTAAATGTAACACTCATAAAATTATATGTTTAAATAATCGACTAAACATTAAACTTAAAGGAAATGTAACTTCCTAAGGGAACAAATTAGGAATTTCAGGCTAAATGCTATTGTGATTATCTACAGGAATGCCTTGTTTATTTTTATTTTTCAGTGTAGCCCAGCAGAAAAAGTATAAGAAAGACTTTCCTTCTTAAAGTCTATTGCATCAGGACATGATGCACTGGCTTGTCAGTCCGGCACTCCTGAGGCTGAGGCAGGAGGACTGCCAAGAGTTCCGGGCCTTCCTATACAGTGAGAGTCTGCTCAGATGTGGGATGGGGAAAAAAATGGTAGAAACCTATGTCATATTATTAAAATTAGACAAACATACATAGAGAGACCCGTCTCAGAATAAATAAATATATGGACAAACAAACAAGCAAACAAACCCTTTCTAAAACAATACGAGAAAAGAGCCAGGTGTGGTGACTTTGCCTGTAATACCAGCAGGAGGATACTTTGGGTTCAGGACTAGCCTGTGCTAGTCCTAGAACACAATGAGTTCTAGGAAAGCCTGAAAGACAGATTTAAAAGTGTAAGAATATCCAAGTAAAACCTCCAGTGCCAGGAATTGGTTACATCTTGTTGAGTCACTGGTCAAAGGGGACCACAAAATGCCCCCAAACATCACAGGCTATTGTCAAAACAATTGGTTTACTCTCCACAGCCTGATGGACAAGCCCTATTGCTGAAGACAACACTATGTCCTTGAATGTGGAGAAGCTCAGCTGGCGTCCAGCTAGCAGCTTCACCCCTGCTGACTTGCCTTCATAGGGCTGGAAGGTACTCTGCATGCCACTGGATGACTGATAATGATCGATATCTCCTAGATACAAATCCTGGGACATAAACCATGAACCTACAAGATAAACTGGTGCAATAAACATTGTGGGTGCAACCAACCACCTAGAAAGGTTATGGGCCTAGGAGAAAATGCATTACCATTATTCAGATAAGGAATATAGCAATAAAATGATTTCTAATTACATTTTGCTAAGTGCATAGATCAGTGTCTCTCACTCAGTCATGATCAGATAAGCTACCTCTGCGGAAAATGGGAATACAAAGAACCATAACTGGACAATGTTCAGAGGGCAACGGACCTTGGGATACTCAGTTCTAAATGGGGCATCTCTGTCACACCCTCCCCTCAGGGCTCAGGGAACTCTGCACAAGAGGAAGCAGAAAGATTGGAAAAGATCCATGATGAATGACTCCAGGAGACAGCATCTTCCAGCTACAACAAGACGGATGCACACGTGAACTCACAGAGACTGTGACACCTTGCATAAGATTTGCACATGTTCAAGTCAGACAGGGTCCCAGCCTTGAGGGGAAAAACTGGGGTCCTAACCCTAACCAAGAATTAATTACCATTGATACCAGCTGCAAAGGAATAATCAGTTATCTACCCTGGATTGCCACAGGACAAACCCCATACCTAATGGTAATTGGCCAACACAAAATTAACCCTGTGGTGTTTGTTCATTTGCTTTTGTTTGGGTTGTTTTTGTCTTATTGGTCTTTTGTGTTTTGTGGGGGGTTTTCGGTCTTGTTTTTGCTGTGTGGATTTTTTTCTTTAAAAAAAAAGAGCAAATGAACATGAGGTTGGATGGAAAGGAATTGGAGAATGGGAAAATAATCAAAGTATATTATATAAAAATTTTTTAATTAAAAAATAGAAAGTACGGACATGGGCCAGTGAACTGGCTCAGCTGCGAAAGCCTCAGTGTGTGCCACCAAGCCTAACAACCTGAGTTCAGTGTCCAGACTCACGTGGTAAAAGGAGAGGAACCCACAAGTTATCTTCTGACTGCCACTTGCTCGCCAAGACAGGCGCATGTGCAGACACACAGAAATCAATGCTTATTATAAAGGTTTTTAAGTGTGTGATTCGTCTCCATTTCTCATCAAATTTGGGGGATTTAAGATTCTTTAATACTCTAAAATCTACCAAGGATCATTGACAAGCTTTATTGAGTCATGACTGCATTCCCCAGTGACTGGAGAATCCAAAAACATTCATGGTAGGATTTTTATTTAAAAAAAAAAATGTGGTCAGGGAGGAAGAGAAAACTGTGAAAACAAGATCCAAGTTTAAGGTAGAGGATGAAGGGCTCGGAAGCTAAAGAACAGCTCCTATCCACGATGGTGACTTGACACATAAGTCCACAGCAGTTTCATCTCAATGAAAATAAGTGCATTATTACGAAACCAGAAAATCTCAGAGAAATACTTCCGTTGTGATTAAAACCACAAACAAACCAGAGAGGATGACAGGTTTGTCCACGATGACCAAATTGAATGTGAGAACAGCTAGGCAGAAGGAGGTACTCTGGGGAAAACCAACAGCAGTATAAACAACAGCCACGTGCTCAAGCACAAAAGCGCATGTGCACATGCACGCACACATAGTGTCCCTAAGTCAACAATACAACCCAAAATCTGATATTAACATAGCCTTTTATATATGCCAAGAGCTGTGGGAAGTGTTCTTTTCTTAACTAAACTATTATCCATAATTTCATGGCTAATACCTTATTGGTATTATTATGCCTTAATATGATACCTTACTGCTCCATTATGCAGAAGAACAAGTTCTATCTAAAACAGCTGTACTCAACCTGTAGGTCATGACCCCTTTAGGGGTCAAACGACCTTTCACAAGGGTCACATAACAGATGTCCTGCATATCAGATATTTACAGTATGATTCATAACAGTAGCAAAATTACAGTTATGAAGTAACAATGAAAATAATGTTATGGTTGGGGGCCAGCACAACATGAGGAACTGTGTTAAAAGGTCGCAGCCTTAGGAAGAATGAGAACCAGTGCTCTAAAAACAAGGGCAGTAATTGTCCACGTGATGTTTTATAGGGAAAGTTCATGTGAAGAGTACGACTTGTGTGAACACAAAGGAGCAGTTAGTGAAAAGAGAGAGAGAGAAAAAGCACCTCAGAGAGAAGGAAGATAAAGGAATGAGGGGAAAAAGGACAGAAGACAAGAGAAGAAAGAAAACGACCGTGGAGATGTTGGAAGGTTGGGTGGTGCTGTGTACACATGGTCTGGACAGTCAGAGCTCAGGAGCTGTGAGTTGACTCTGCAGGCAAGGCCGCTGACAGCTTAGTCCACTTTGATACCTCAGACCCCACAAGATGGAAGGAGGGAGCCAACTAACTGCTGAAAGCTGTCCTCTGACCTCCACATGCACACACATGCAGATGTGTACATGCACACAGACACACAGACACACACACACACACACACACACACACACACACAAAATCCGTAAATGTAATTTACTTTTTCAAAGAGAGAGAGAGAGAGAGAGACATGCTCATAACTGCAGAAACTGTTCACTCCCCTGAAACACAAAGAGTGACTGACATGCTAATTTTCCATGGTAATTTTGTACAAGGCTCTATTTTCCATGTTCTACAAGAAGTCACGGTCAGTTTAGCTCTGAGGACTGGAAGTGTCTGCTGTCCTGTCACCCTCAGCCAGAGAGGAAGAGGAAGGAAGCTCACCATGCATTCACCATCCCCTCTCTTGCATTAGCACCACACAGCTAGGTACCATCGCAGTGTGTTTTCACCTTGTGTCTGGTGAAGCTTGGGCTTGCAGTACACAGGAAATGCTCTTAGAATCTCCGGTGATTTGAGAATGGACCCCATAGCTCACATATTTGAATGATTTGTTCCCCTTATGGAACTGCTTGAGAAATGTTAGAAAATGCAGACTCATTGCAAGAGGCGTATCTCTGGGGGGTGGATGGATCCGCCACCTCCTTTCTCTCTCTCTCTCTCTCTGCCTTGTGATTGTGGGTCAGATGGATGCTCTCAGCTACGGCTCCAGCACCAAACTGCTGTCATGGTCCTCATCATGATGGTCATGGACTCATCCTCTGAAACTATAAACCTCATTAAACAACTTCTTCTTCTTCTTCTTCTTCTTCTTCTTCTTCTTCTTCTTCTTCTGCTTCTTCTGCTTCTTCTGCTTCTTCTGCTTCTTCGTCATGGTGTTTTATCACAACAGTAGAAGAGCAACGAAGACATAATGAAAAGTACCCACTAAATTTGGTAGATTGGGAGCATTCATAGCAGCCTATTGGATACTCCAGAGAAAGCACCATCTTCCTGCTACATAATAAATAGGAAATTCTCCTAAATTTTAACTTAAAAGCGTGGGTCTCGAAATTACTGCATATGCAGGTACCTGCACTCAAGGGAAGGATAAGATTCTGTGGGAAGGAAGAGCTAAAACAAATTTACTCTCTTGTCTAGCCTACAGGGGACCCCAAACAGCAACATGGATGAGTCTTTTTTAAAAGATTATTTTATAATTAACTCTATGTTGGATGAGGATGGGGTATATGTGCACAGGAGTACATGTACCCTCAAAAGCCAGAAGAGGGCACTGGACCCCTGGAGCCAGCATTACAGGCAATTGTGAGCCACACAAAGTGGATTCTTAGAACCGAGCATGGGTCCTGACATAGGAAACCAGATCCTGGCAATTGGGGGGGGGGAGGTGTCGGGTCTTATCTTCTCCCAGGGCCAAAGCTCAAACCCAGGCTTCACATATGCTAGTGTTCTACTTCTGAGCTGTATCCCCCAAACGTACCTTCTAATAGGTAATGCTATAAATGGTACAGAATCCAAAAGACGGCAGATGCTAGTGAGAACATGAGCTGCCTGTCTCACCCCTCTACTGGAGCCACCAGTTCCCCTTTTCAAAGCTAAGCTCTGTTACACTTCAATGAACATTCTTCCAAAGACATCCTGTGCATTTATAATATATACAAAAAATTTCACAAATATGCATCTCTATGCCTCAATGCTTTAACATTAATCATGATGTTACTAATACTCATACACATTTGCTTATGGGAGCCAACAGATATTCTTTTATACATAAATCTTTGTACAAGGCAAATAACTTACTCGTGTAAATCTGTCATTCTTCATGTTGTACAAAATGTCCCTGAAAGCGTAATTTTCATGCACATCTGTATTTGTGGAGTAGAAATGGAAGAAAATGCAGATAAATACTATCTTGTTCTCCGTGCAGACTGTCGATTTATGAGTAAAACCATGAGTTATATCCTAGTCTATTTCTCTATTGCCGTGATCAAACACTGACCAAAACCAGCTTAGGGAAGGAAAGGATTTATCTCATCTTATAATTTACTATTTCTACTATTATCTCATCCTCTGAATTTCCAGGCCACAGTTCATCACGGAGGGAAATCGGGCAGGATCAAGGAGGTCAGAAACCTGGAAGTGGGGCCACAGCAGACCTCAGAGAGGAGTGCTGCTTACTGGCTTGCTCTCCCTGGTTTTCTCCTTCTTAAACAACCTAGGACCATCTGCCTGGGGCGGGCACCACCTATAGTGGGCTGGGCCCTCACACATCAACCATTACTCAAGAAAATGCCCCCCCCACTCATCTACAGGACACTCTGAGAGAACCAATTAATTCCTCATGTGAGGTGCCCTCTTCCTAGATGACTCTAGCTTATTTCAAGCTGACAGAAAGACCGACCAGTACAAGCTACTAGTGACTGTTAGGCACTGTCTGGTGAAGGAATAGTTTCACCATAATGCATTTCAATTGCCTCAGAGAGTCACCAACTCTATTATTTATGTTCAACTTCCTCCCAAAAGGATTTTGAAGGGACCAAATTTCTCTTACTTAAACGTATAATGGGGGGGGGGGGAGACAGAGAAAAGTGTATAGCACAATAAAAACAATCAAATAATAGAGATAAATAAATAAAGTAATAATAACAAATACAGTAAGTAAAAATATCACTTTGCTGCTACAAAAAAGCCATCTCCTTGCACTGCCTTGAAGGTTTAGAAGGTTAAAGCGTCTAGAGCAGCGCCGTGAAAAGACCAGACTATTGAACAACAGACGGCTTCCCTACCGCAACTATTCTGTGTCTGGTGATTTGTGACTGGACATCAACAGAGGTCACGTACATTGACGACGTAGAGAAAAGCGGAGGGCGAAGCGCAAGGACAGGGAGCTGCTATCGGCATTGACTGCGGGCAGCCCACTCACCTGCCTGCAGTTCAAGCAACTGCTCACGCAAGACGTACCCACTCACCTGAGCAGCTCTGATTGGGGCCTTAGCCTGCCCACCATTTCCCCCACCCAAAACTGCTGCCTCTCTGGGGCTCCCTAAAGTCTCCTTACTGAACCCAAGTGTCCATGTTAGAAACTAGGACACTCCCATCCTGACTGAACCTGCACCCTCAACTAAAAGGGAAATTATTTTTCTTTCTCTCTTTCTTCTTTTCTGTTGATGAGTGTACCTTTGCTTCCTCTTTTCATCCTGCCCCAAATCTTTATGACTGATTGTGGAATCTGTTAGATGTACCAGCCACTTCCCCTGCTCTCTCCTGACTTGAGGTTCCAGGAGCTATCCCCATTAAAAGATTATAGTCAGAAAACTATAATTCAGCCAGTTACTGACTGTAATGGAAGCAGGGAACATGTTTTCTTGGCTGCATAGGTCCAGGATATTCGGTGACCCCTGGATTAAGACACGCACAGTCCATGTTTCAGAACCAGCAACTTTTCAAAACTAATGAACCTCCCTGACAGCCACCTGCTGAACGCTGGGATGGTAGTCTCACAAAAGACACTGGGCGCCTTCCCTTTCTGTACCAAGCAAGAGGAACTACTGTGTGTTGTTTGTCTTCCAATATCTGGCTTGTTGTTCAGAAAAGCTTTTCCTTCTCCTATCAGTCTGTTAAGTTATGGGGCCTTTCGAATAAGAGCAGACACAGACCTTCAGTCGCTGCATTGCTTCCCATTCCGTCAGCCAGCAGGCGTGCTGGGCCTATCTCTGAAATAGCTGACGGATTGTCTACAGCGCCGCACCTGCGTCACCACGAACCTAGTTAATGCTTCCACTTCCCGAGCTAAAGTCACCGTAAAGTTTTGTGTCGGTTATCTCTGAGACCTTCCTGCCTCCAGTTTGCTTTTCTCTGGCCCAATCTCTGCAATCAGGCCTGTGGTCTTCATAAGTGAGAGAGAAAGGCAGATTCACTTGAAAGCACCCAGTGGCTCCCCATGGTCTTGTGGGTATTGGAAATCCGTCACTGTGTTCACACCCTACTCCCGGCCAACCACATCCTGGGTGTTCGTCTCCCTGCCTCAGCCCCCACATTTTACATCCACTAAACAACTTACAGGCCCTCTCTTCAGGAGCTCTCTTCGGGCTGTTCTCACTGTCGGCACTCTCTACTCCTTTGCTGTCTAGAATAAAATCTGGATCAAATTCTCCTCCTGTGTGCCCTCTGAGCCTCTGGACTCTCAGTATCCGCTCTTCCATTGTGACCTGTTTAAACCCTCTGTGCTCGGCCGGCCTTCCTGCCGACTGGGCTGTGTGCAAGCGCTTGCCACTGCTTTCTATACTGAAAAACAAAGGCGCAACATGGGAGAAAGAAAAGGTATTGCGGCCATGTAAGCGTTTGAAAATATCGTGAGTCTCCTGATAATCTAGTGTGATTCCTCTGAACCTGTGGTCCAGGGTTCCTCTGACAAGATCACGGGATTGTTTCCTTGGGAAACATAATTTTGGGGGATTCTTTTTCTAGGAGATTTTCAATAAAGAACCCTGCTTGCCTAAACCTTTTTCCTTTTTTCTTTGTTTTGTTTTGTTTTGTTTTTGTTTGTTTGTTTGTTTGTTTGTTTTCTATCATGTTAAGATGTTTAACCTTAATCTTTGGGTGCTATTTTAAAGTAGAAAAATAAAGATTTCCATCTCAATCTTCAATTGTTTTTAATTCAACAGGAACATTTTGAACCATTAATGTGCTCTTTCATTTTGTTTCACTTGTGGGGCTTTTATTTTGTTATGTTTTCTATCCCTTCCGCCCTGTTCACCTTTCTGTTTGTTTTTGTTCAGATGTTGGTGTTAAGCCCAGAGCTTCATGTATGCTGCGCTTAACTCTACCACTGGGCTGCTGGGGGCCCCGAGATTTCTCATCAAAGTGTGTTCCCATGTGAGAACCTGAATTCAAATATCTAGAAACCACACAAAAGTTGAGGGTGGAGGCCTATATCTATAACCCCAGTGCTGAAGAGTAAAAAAGAGACAAGGGTAACCTCAGAACTCACAAGACAGCCAGTCAGGGTAAATCATTGAACTTCAGGTTGGTGAGAGACCCTGTCTCAAAAGATGAAGTGGAAAGCAGGGAAGAAGACACCAGGCATTGACCTGTGGCTTCTACACGACTCAGCACACACACACACATAGACACATGTGCACCACACACAAACATGTACATACATATATACCACACACAAAGATAAAGAGAAACAGTCTCTGGAATGCCTTTAATACGTTAGTATCAAATTTCCCGTATTGAGAATAGCTAACTCTCCTAAAAGTCTGTGAGCAAAAAGATGTTTTGTGAGAAGGAGGGTGGTCCAGGAAGTGAAGCCTCAGCAGTTGGTCAGTCAGTAGGAGAGCAAGAATGCTGTGACTAAGAGAGACTGGCAGGCATGAAGCATTTGCTAGGCCCGAATTTCCCGGCTCCTGTTTGTTGCTGTTGCTGTGGTGTTCAAAGCTCCGGGGTTGTTCCGTGGAGGCTTGAGTGTACACCCGGGCCACTCAGGAAGGAAAGAGGGCACCGCCACCACACAGCACCTCCCTCCGAGAGTCACCCAGCAGCAAACTGCAGGGCAGGTTCCATGCTCACTTTAATTCTTAAGATGTTCCTTCTCTGTTTGAGTTCTTGTGACATTGTAAGATGAGAAGAAATACAATCACTCCATAAGGAAGAGACTTCGCCTCCAAAGGGCAGCCACAAAAGAGGGATTAAACAAAAAGAACAGCAAACTTCCTACTCCAGAACAAGTTACTCGGATGCTCACCACATCTTGTGATTGGATTATAAAGAGGAACGTTTCACTCTAGTTGCCCCCGAGTGTAAGCCCAAGCTTTACAAATTAAAATAACTTAAAGGAACCCACCATCATTGCCTACAGTTGGAGAACAAAGCTGACGAACAGGAATTCAGTACCTCCTAGAAGTGCGCGGGCACCTGCTCCGCAAACCTGCCCTCCTGCTGATCGGAGGGACCCAGACGACACCTGCACACCCCCTGGCACAAGGGTGGTGACGAGCTCCTCCGGGGCTCCTGGTCCTTCAGCCACCAACCCTGCTCTTCAGCTCGACGTTTGCTAAACCTAAGTGGCAGTCAGCAGAACATAACTTCTGCCTGAAAGGTCTCCAAGATAAGACCTGCTCCTGAGGAATGCTTTCCCTCACAGCGGGAGTGGCTGCAAGGAACTTGAGCAAGCCAAATATGGGCTCACCGTAGCTTGCCTCTGTGTTCCCTGCAAGATTAAGAACCCAGTTTGCAAGTGTCTTGTGTCAGTTTGCTTGGCCTGGAGCTGTCCGTTAAAAACTCGCTAAGGTTAGAGAAGTTTTTAATTGCAAGGTTTTGACCCCCGGAGCCAAACACGCCCAGGCACTCCTGCAATCCACCCGAATGGGAGGCTGAGAGGATTCAAGGATAACCTGAGCAGAGTAGAGAAATTTTGTTTTGTTTTGTTTTTTAATTAAAGATTTAAAATCTTTGCTGGGCAGTGGTGGTGTACCCCTTTCTTCCCACCACTCAGGAGGCAGAGGCAGGCAGATCTCTAAGTTACAAAGCAAGTTCCAGGACAGTCAGTGTTACAAAAGGAAACCCTGTCTTTGAAAAAAAAAAACCAACAAAAAAATTTAAAATCGTCTCTACACATTCAAAAATACCTCCTTACTTGGTCCTGTGGTCAAACAGGAAACCTGGCTGCTCAAAGGGTCCAGTTTATCTAGCACAGATAAGGTCAAAGATTGAGATTTGTTTTGTTCTGTTTTGTTTGAGAATCCTTGTGAAGCACAAGCTGACCGTGAAGACGAAGTTTGGAAAGGGTTTCTGGACACAAGCCAAGTGTCTGTGAGTGCCCTCTTAGATTCATCTGGGAAGAAAACTGTCTCTCAGAGATGATTATAAGGCTCGGTTTACAAAATCTCTTGATCCTTAGGTCAGTGGAGGCTATCTATTTTTGCAGAAAAAAAAAAAAGAGGTCTCCATATTGGAAATCCAACCCAGTTTGTTAAAGAATAGTAGCAGCGGGGGTGGGGGGTGAGCATTGATTCTGCCCTCTCGACGGTCTCACCTGCACAATGCCAAGTACTTAATGTGCCCCAGAACACCTGACTGCAACTATTAGCTCCTTTCTATAAATGAGATACTAAATCTACAGACGGTGAATAATGTGCCCAGGGAACCCAACACTGGGATACACACACACACACACACACACACACACACACACACACACACTATTCTTGGCCCCTAGCTTCAGTAGTCCTATTTTCAGCTGCTGCCTCATTTGTTGATCGTGGCTCTGGGGTTTGTCCCCATGCCAGGTGTCTTTCTGTAATGGTTTAATAAACCCTTTACTTCAGAGAACCTCCATCCCCAAGAACCATGGTTGGGGGCTGGAAAGAGGAATGGCTCAATGGTTATGGACACTTGTTCTTCCAGAGGAACTGGGGTCATGTCCCGGTACCCATACGGTGGCTCACAACCATCTGTAACTTCAGTTCCAGAGGCTCGATCTCCCTCTTCTAGTCTCTACAAATACCAGGTACCCACATAATACACACAGGCAAAATACTAATATACATAAAATATATCTTAAAATATATAAAATAAATCTAAAAAAGAATGATAGTTTAACAGCAAGGTTTTAAGGTTTGCAAATTAATTTCTTGAATATTGTTTTGCCATCTGAATCCTGTGAGGCCCCTCACACACCAAGCATGGAAAATCCTCAGGAAAGTCGCTGCAAGACATCATGCCCTCTGTGTGAGCCCTGAAACCCACAGAGGTGACAAGAGGGTTGACAGCCATTAGGAATTACAAGCTAACTTTTCTGTGAATATGGAACACTTCCAGAAGACAATCTCAAGTACTGGTTCAAACCTAAGTGCCATAGAAAGGACCTAAACATTCAGTTTTCCAAAGAAAACAGCCATAAGCACACAAAAGGTGGTCAAACTTGTTAGACTTTAGGGAAATGTCAATCAAAACCAGCAGGTCGCCTGTGCATTCATTGTGATGGCCATAGTCAGAAAGGGAAAGATGAGGAAATTGAAAAAAAATGGCAACTCTCATCAATTGCTAGAAGGAATGTAAAATGGTACAGTGACTTTAGGAAAGAAGTCTACAGTTTCTCAAAAAGCTAAACTCGGATTTACTGTATCTCCCAGCAATGCTACCCCTAAGTGTCTACCCAAGAGAAATGAAAACAAATCCACTCAAAATCTTGTACACGAATTTTCATAAAAGCATCATTGTATAGTCCAAAATATAGAAGCAACCAAATTCCATCAATGAAAAACTGATTTTATATGTGTGTGTATGTGTGTGTGTGTGTGTGTGTGTGTGTGCGCGCGCGCGCGCGCGCGCGCACGCGCAATGGAAAATTGTTTAATAAGACAAAGAGATGAAGTTCCTGCATATGCTGCAACATGGATAACCCTGAACCCATCAGGATGAGATAAGCTTGTCACAAAGCACTTTCAGCAGCATGCAACCCTTTATATATGATGCCTGAAACAGGTAGACTTACAGCAACAGCAGGCAGGTCAGTGATTGGCGGGTAGTATAGATGTGGAAGGAGGGGATAACTAATACCAGTGGGATTCCTTTGGGGAATCCTTTTCTTTAGAAATGGAAGGGGCTGGAGAGACAGTTTAGTGGGCTGAGTCCTTGCTGCTTAAGTATAAAGACCTGAGTTCAGATGCCCAGAACCCACATAAAAAGTCAGCTGTCACTGCTCATACCTACAACAACATTGTTAGGGAGGAGTGTGAGGAGGTATTGAGTACAGAAACAGGCAGATGGATCCCAGGGGTTTGCTGGGTAGCCAGTTGTGTGTGAGTTCAGTGAGAAACCTAATCTCAAAGGTACAGAAGTACCTGTGGAAGACGTCTGACATCAACCACGGGTCTCTGTGTGAGCGAGAATGCCCGTGCACACATGCACAAACCTATACACCAAGCACACAAGCATGAGCACACACACATACACACACACACACACACACACGCACGCACAACCATGTATGCATACACGACTTCTGTTTTAAAAACAAGAAAGAATGGAACACAGGCAGAAAGAAAGCCTTACCCCAGAAAACAACAAAAGCACATAGAAATTAGGTGATAGCCCCCACTGAGACTGCAGATCGCCCAAGTGTTCTGTTCAGACTATATAGTTTAAGAAAAAATTTCAAACCAACCATCATAATGTGAAAACTAAAAGATTTCGCTTTCAAGAAATAATCTGTATTATTTGGTTTTTCTTTAATAAGAAATTGTAGGAGAAAAATTATGGCAAGAGAAAGCTGGGGCTGAGGGGCCCTAGCAAGACAGAGCTTGTAGAAGTCAGTTTATTGTGGTTCCAGCCACTGCTGGGTTCGGCTCCATTTGTGATTTCAAGTCTCTCATCTATTGCTTTTAACAGATTCCAATGGAACCTCAGACCCAAGTCGCAGCCACAACCCTTAGAAAGAGGTGGCCTATAAAGGGAGGCTATTTGTTTCATGGGTAAAGTAACTAAGGTGACTTATGAGTCTAGAGGACATGCAGCCCGCAGTAAAACAGGGGTTTTTTTCCATTACATTCTTTTCTTCGGTGCTGAAGGGCCTTTTGCATGCTAACCAAGTACTCTAACACTGAGTTATCGCCCTAGAGCTCCTTGTTCTTTACTTCTGCTGCTAGTATCTCCAAATGTTTATCATTGCTATTTCTCCGTTTCTATTTAGTACCAACAGAGAGAACTCCGTGAAAAGGCAACACAACATGCATTCTGAAAACAGTTTGTGGTTTTCAGACATTATGATCTAATTATGAGCAAGAAGTTCTGCCTTGCCCCAGGATTCAATGTGGTTTGCATGGGCAGCTTGACCTAGCCCTCCCAAGTCAGAGGCCATCATCTCCCAACACTAAGGAGGGTGAAGAGAACATCAGACTTGAACATACTAGGCAATGACCCTTCTCCGAGGCCTCTTAGTGCATCTGCTACAGAAGGCACTTACTTCTCACCAATATCTTTGCTTCCCTGGTGAAAAAGGACCATTCATAAGAAGTTACTAGTCCATAACTAGGCAAGAAAGGTAAACACTTTGAAGAACTATAGTCATTCAGTGACCCAGGCTTTGAGTCAGGCAAAGGAAATGCCATGTAATGTCCACACACAGTTTAAGGATGGGACAGATATAAAGAACAACTGAATTCACAAGTTAATCTTACCACTAGAAACCTGGGGTATCTGATGCTCATCTGGCTCAGTCTATTTACAGAAGATCTGGAACCAGCAGAGGCAGAAAATGGCAATGCATCCCACTAGTGAGTTCATCACGATATCAACCACTCCAGGCTTCCACAGGCTACATACCCAAGGTCAGCCGGGGAAATGTGATGTAACCACATATGGGATGGTGTCTTGCTGAGCTTTGAGTACACTTCTTTTCCAGTCAGAATGGATTGTAGGAAACTGGAAATATGACTCAGTGGGTAAAGTACTTTCACAAGCACAGGATCTGAGTTTGATCCTTAATACTCACAGAAGAAGTCAGACGGTGTGGTGCATGCTTGTTATCTCAGTGCTGGGGAGGTAGAAGCAGGGAGTGTCCTGGCCTCCCAAACCAGCCAGCACAGAGTCAGGCAAACAACAGATCCCAGTGGCAGACCCTGTGTCAGGATAAAGTGGACAGCCATCTTGAGGAACGACACCTGGTGTTGACCTCTGGCCTCAGCACGCATGTCTACACGGGTGAACTGCAGGGCTGTGGCAGAAAGGAGTGCTGGCCAAACCCTGAGAAAGTATCCAGCCTCTAAGGCAAATTAAATGGTTGCTTCTCACTGCTAGAAACAGATGGTGACACTCTGAAATAGTCCTATAGTTTCCCTGTGCTACCCATGACCAAGAACTTCTCCCAAAGAAACACAGAAATGCAAACATTCATCAATACTAAGGGAAAGAATCTCAATGGTGGAAGGGCTGTCATTGAGACCCTGTATCAAAAGACAGTGAGAAAGAGTAAGTGTTGGGCTGTCCAAATCAAGGGGAAATTTTCCAGGGTGTTCCATTGCCACCCCTCCCCTACTCCTACCTGAGTTCAGATTTCACAATCATATCCAAAGTTTAGAAAAAAAAAACTTCATTACATAGTTTATGTGAGCATCTTTCTTTCATATTTGCTTGATTTTGCTACTAGGTCTTTCTCTGTAACTGAAACTGGCCTCTAATTCAATATACAGCCCAGGTTGGCTTGGAGTCATGATCCTCCGGCATCTGTCTCCTAAGAGCAGGGATTATAAGCATGGATCATTCTAACTGGTCTCTTTCTATTTTTAATTGTGATAAAAGATACACGATAAAGTATTTACTGTCCTGTTTTCTAAGTTTGACATTCAGTATTGATACATACAGTTCCATTGTTAGGCAGCCGTCTCTGAAACTCCTCTATGCGTCAAAGCTGGGACTCTAGACCCATACAGCAACTCCATCTTTCTATCCCCCCACCCTGGCAATCACCACTCAACATATCAATTTTACGAATTTGACATTCTTAAATATATCATAAATGGAATCCTATTTGTCTTTTTTATGACTGGCTCATATCACGTAATATAACGGTCCCAGGTTTCATTCGTCTGCTAGCAAATGTCAAAACTTCCACCCTTGCCAAGGCCAAAATTAATCGGCTGCGTGTGCGCAAGTGTCACACTATCCTCTCAGAAAGTCTGCTCCTATATCTCAAGGGTGTGGCTCTGAGGGTCCGAGGGCATGCAAGCTAACGTTATTACTTTACAAGGAGGGAAGAGAGGGGGAGATGCTTGACTGTATGGCATGGACACTCTCGGAAAGGAAAAAAACAAAACCTAACTATAGCTGACATTGAGCTCCATCCCATTGGGTTCCTCATCACATCTTTATCTCAACAATCCAGTGTCAAACTACAGTCCCAGGCTCTGAGCGAGGGCTCATCACATAGTTGACACGCTACAAACATGTGTTGGCTAAATGAACCCAGAAGACTGATAGTCATAGGGAGAAAATGCTGCATGTATGGTCTTAACTTGAGCAAGCACTATATATACCGACATGAATTTTTTTCCCTAGAAACTATTAACAGTGCAATGTATACAATCTGATTCCTTTTACACAATGCACAAATTAAAACAATGGAGCCATATACAGAAAGTATGTATATATGAATTGTACACACACACATTTATCCTATATAATTTCTTCCACCCATATGGTTACAACCCCTCATGAGAAATAAGAAACAGTCAATCAAATTCTCACAGCTTAAACTCAAATCCAAGTAGTCAAATTAGCCAATCCAGCTGACTAGCTAATGATAAATTGGTTGTAGAAGAATCCAAAGCAAAGAATAAATTAGTACATCAAAGGCATATGGGAGCCTAAGAAATGGCTCACCAAGAAAAAGTGTTTACAATCAATTACCGCACAAACTTGATAACCCAAACTCAATCCCCAGGTCCCACAAGGGAAGGTGAGAACCATACATACATACATACATACATACATATAAAACCAATTCATGAAGCTGTCATCTGCTCTCCACATGCATACCATGGCAACTCACACAATCATGATGTGTGTGTGTGCATGCACATGCGCACACACGAACAAAGAAACTGAAGGATACATGCATTTCCCACTGAATAGTTAAGAGTTGTATAGTTAGCCGGCGGTGGTGGCACATGCTTTTAATTCCAGCACTTGGAAGGCAGAGGCAGGTCGATCTCTGTGAGTCTGAGGCCAACCTAGTCTACAGAGCAAGTTCCAGGAAAGGCTCCAAAAGCTACGGAAAAACCCTGTCCAAAAAAAAAAAAAAAAAGTATAATTCTCTAGAACAAACTATCACCATTACGTATATGGCTAGATTTTTCCATGCATTCTGTACCTTGGCATGACTTCAAATCTCAACTCTGCTTTTTTCCCTCAGCTTTGTTTTCTCCCTGAAGGAAGGAGGTTGGGAGAAGAGAGATGACATCCTGTTTAGCCCAATTACTGGAGAGGCTGAGTGAGGCAGGGGGATTACAAGTTCAAGGCTAGTCTGGGAAACTTGATGAGTTCCTGCTTCGAAATAAAAAGTATTTAAAAGGCTGGGAATGTAGCTCAGTGGTAGAGAGCTTGGATCCTGGAGGCCATAGGATCAAACCCCAACACAGGAGGAAAAGGAAAGCCCTTGCATCTTGTCAAATACACTAAGCATTATTCTAAGGGAACATGGTGTATCATAGCCCACTTAATCTTATAACAGTATTTTCCAGTTGCTCCAAATGCAAAAGCCAAAGCTAATAACTAAGCTCCCAGAGTTACAGGTGGTGATGGAGCTGAGATGCCAATTCACGATGTCTGAAAAGATAACAGAGAATGTGCTCTTCTCAACCAGGCCAGGCTGAAAAGACCCAACGCATAGCAAGCCTGAACTATGCCTGTACACAATGGGCACAATAAGTATTATTTCTCGCACCAAGTGTGAAAGTAAAGAAAAACCGGTAGAGATGACAGGCAGCTTGTGCCTAGCAATGCCTAGCGGTCTTAAAGGACACCCAGGCACCGCATCCTGTTTTCTTCTAAGCACTGGACTGGGCGCTGTCACTGTCCACGACCTGGGAACATTGGTGTCGCGCAGGGGTCCCCAGCAGCGGCAGTAGACAGGGGCCAACGCGGACAGCCGCAGGCCCAACTTTTACCTTGACCTGCATTCTCACCGCCAGAGGAGCCGAAGCGACAGCGGATTCCTCCGGGTTCCGGACACCTCCCGAAACTCGATTCCTCCAGGATTCCGCAGACCCGGACTCACAAGCGCGCCCCGCCGCCCTGACCCCGGGTTCGGTTTCCGCTCGGCCACGACCCAGGTCTGGCCGGGTCCCAACTCTCGGAGGAAAGACTACGGGTCCTGCCCTTCGGGAGGGTCCACGAGGTTGCCAAAACTTCAGCTATGATAATCATCTTCGGGTGGAGACTAGAGGACTTGAAAGCCAGCATTTCGCAAATCCTACCTATTCTAGATCGCAGTTAGATACGCGTGCGCCTGGCTCCACCCACAGCCACCTGGGGCCCCGAGCCTGACCCGTGCCTACCGCAGAGCGCTGCCCCGGTCCTCATCCTAGATTTTCCAGGCCAGCTACCAAAACCTGGTTTGAGGACTGTGGAGTTAAAAATCTGTCCTCCACCTTCACGTGGTCACTGCCCTTTACAGCTCCGTGGAGTTGTCACGTGGTCTTTTGGGTTCTGTTGCCTCCTGTATAGGAAAGAGATGGCTCCAAAGTAGTCCCAGGATCAGATGGGACGGTCACTGTCATCAGACAGATTTTAGATTCTTGATTCAGAGCTGTAGGTGAGGAGACACTCAAGAGTTTAGGCTTGCAGTGTTTCTTTAACACCTGTGAGTTGCTGAACATAAGAGGTCCTCCTGGGACCTGGTTTACTTACTTACACAGAAAGAATAATAAGAAAACCCGCCTTTCTCACAGAGGTTACACTGGACAAAGACAGTTTCTTTGGCTTATTTATGAAGGATCATACAAATGTCTTTTGTGATTCTTGTTGCAGGGAAGGGGGTCCTCTGACTGCACAGTCTTGTCTAAGGCTGTGGTCAGTGACTCCAGATGTATCTCTGTGTTGGAAGAGGTGACACATCGGAGAAACACAATATTCAGAGGATCACAAATGGTGTGGGAGGTCCAGGACAAGCAAGCGGGCCCTCCTCCTACATACAAAAACTATAATGAACAATACTAGGCATTTATCCCGGACAGGTGACTTTAAATTAGCGACACCTACGATTAAGTCCAGTCCAAAGTTTTGCCTGGTGAGCTCGCATTTGCAGTCACAGTTAATAAAACTTGTTTCTGCCTGGTGGTGGCTGCGCACGCCTTTAATCCCAGCACGCAGGAGGCAGAAGCAAGTGGATCTTTTTAATTTCGAGGCCAGTCTGGTCTACAGAGCTAATTCCAGGACAGCTAGGGCTTTTACACAGAAAAACCCTGTCTTGAAAACAAAAACGAACAAACAAACAAAAAACTTGTTCCCTCATTTCTCAGTGTGGTCTCAATAGTCATTTCCTTGTTTGTTAGTAAAATTGTATATTCTCACTTTGCTGTTTTGCCTACTAAAAATTGAGAAGTCATTTCCTCTAGGTTCACCTCCTCAAATCGTTAATGATCTGTAGACATTTACCAGGATGGATGCTCTTACAAGGCAAGCCAGAGCCTCCTGGCTGGTGCTCGTCATAGATCATTTCTGTTAGCTCTCTTCACAACCCTAAAGCCAGCGAACGAAAAATCTAGACTCATCCAAAAGACTAAGTGACTAAGCATCTGGACTGGCACATGCTGACACCTCTCAGTGTCTGGAAACTATTATAGTCTACTTTTATCTCTCAGGCAGTTTTGTGTGTGTGTGTGTGTGTGTGTTTTAGCGTGGTCACGTGATCAAGCTTCAAGACACTTGGAACCCAAGGTGGTTCCTAAACGCTTTGACCTTCTAAATGTACTGGTTTACAAGGCCCTTTGGTTCCAAGCTGCATCGAAAGTACTGGAGGCATTGGAATAAGAGTGTTACTAACCCCAAGGCTGCTGCTCACTGTACAGCTGGCCGGGTGCTAAGGCCAGGAAGGTGACCTGATTAGAAAAACTGGCTCAGTCAGAAGATAAAGGACACCAGTCACAAAACCCATCTTTCAGGAAAGCTGACTTAATCTCTTCTAGGAACCATTAATGGGCGTTCCTGGGCTCTTGAGGGACCTCCAGGGACACAGGGTGGGAGCAAAGGATGCACACTAGACTGGAAGGCCTAGTCACAGAAAAGCTGGCTGCTCTGTGAATGGCAAAACAAAGGCCATTATTTCTCTGGGCTGTTCTTGCCACTGACTAATGCAACCATCTGTAGTTATTGCAAAACGGTCGCCTCGAGGCTACCTGAAGTCCTCCTGCTGTTTACCAAGCTCATGATCACGGAAGAAAGTATTATCTCACCCGAGTCATAGAACAGTCACTAGGGATGTTTTAAATCCTGGGCTTCTCTTGACAGATCCTCAGGTATTCCTAAGGTAGAGCCCAGGAATCTCTTTCATAGCTCCCTCAATCAGTTGAAAAGATTGTATATAAAATTATTCTGCCCACAAGCATATCTCTACTTAGGATGCTTAAATTTTGCCATGTTCATTATTTGTCTGGGGTGGGCTGATTCAGACCGACAAATAGTCCCTCGAACACAGACTATTTTGCAGACAATGTTGGATGCCAGAAAAGTCAAAGATGAATAAGATATTGTCCAGCCTCCAAAGAGCTCAACTTTACAGGAAGGGGAGCAATCAGAACCGGAAGCATGCCTGGGCCACCATCCCCAAGCCTCAGCATCTTAAAGGGCTTCATTTTCTCCTCCGTTGACTGCATCCCTGCCCTCTCTTTATGCCTCTGTCCATTCTTCTCTTAGGTTTTCTTCTCTTTTGTCTGGTCTCTCCTCTCACCCAGAGTTTTCAAGGTCTCCAGCCTTCTAATGGGCACGCGCACATGTTAGTCTTGTAAGAGCTAACAACGCTTACGCTAGGGTTTCAACATTAAAGGTTAACTTGGTGAGTTTAGGGTGGAGTTGAGCAGCTGATCTTTTATCACGAGAAAGGATGGTGCCCCAGCCATCCTTCGTTTCTTAATGAGTCCCAAACAGTCAAGAGCACCAAGGGATATTTTCTAATACAAATAGTCGACTCTGAAGGAGAATGGTTGCAGGCTTGGATTTGAATTTGGTTTTGCTTTCATTTCCTTTCCTTGGAAGGATTTTTAGAGATTTTCCAAAGTCATACCTCCCATTCTTTTAGGACTAAGGGGAAATGAATGACTTTTTCTTTGCACCGAGAAGGAAAGGCACCATGTGTGGGAGTGGTCTGGTGCAGTTCACTGTCTTGCCTGGCTTATGATCCTCAGGTTGACTCACGACTCTTTTGCTTTCAGAAGCCCAGAGAACATAAGAAAGGACAATGCCATGCGGAAAGGTAATATACTCCGACTGCCACAAGCCAGCTACAATTACAATAAGCAATTGCACAATTGGGAGAAATGTAGAATTATAGGTTATTAAAGAGATCAGGGTAGGAGTGGTGGCTCACACCTGTAATCCAAGTGCATCAGAGGCTGAGGCAGGAGAGTTTCTGGGTGCTTCGAGCCAGGTTAGGTCACAGACCAAAACCTTGTCTCAAAAACATATTTCTTTTAAAAGTTGGAGAAAAGCCAGAGATAAAGGATGGAATTCAGCCCTTTCTGCATAGTTGTTTCTGTTTTTAGACCTTTGTCCTGGCTAGTTCTGAAACCAAACTGACACAAGGTAAAGTCATCTGAAAGGAGGAAACTTCAACTGAGAAAATGTACTTTATAAGGTCATGCTGTGGGCAGGAAAGCCTGTAGTGCATTTTCTTAATTGGTGATAGATAAGAGAAAGAGGGCCCAGAGCATTGTGGATGGGGACATCCTGGGCTGGTAGTCCTGGATTCTATAAGAAAGTAGACTGATAGATAGGTCCCAATGCTGAGAAGGACACTGTACTTGAAGCCTCATCCCTAACCCAAAAGCTATCTCCAGTTGGCAGCCACTCACAAAGGAAAATACAGTTTCCTCCAATGGAGTCTCACTGGAAGTACAGACAACACTTACGGCAAGCCCATGTCCTTCTGAAGATGGGCAACATAGAATGAACTCCGTGGTATTTTTGGAGACGCTTTGTCTCAGAATGCTTTGCTGGGGAATTTTTTTTAACCTTACTTGTCATTTGGTTACTTATAATGGTTTCTGATTTTGAACTTCTATGGTGTGTGTGTGTGTGTGTGTGTGTGTGTGTGTGTGTGTGTGTATCTGTCATGCTTTTACTTTTTTATTGTTTGTTTGTTTTGTTTTACACTGACTATCACACTATTTGTTTCCTAAAGAGAGAGAGAAAGAAGGTGTGGAGTTAGATAGTGGGAGGGTGGACTGGGAGGAAATGAGGAAGAAGAAACCATAGTCAAAATATGGTGTATGAAAAAGAAATTTTACCATTTTAAAAAAGCATCTGAGCAAGCCACGAGGAAGAAGCCTTAAGCAGGTCTCCCCCACAGGAGGAGCTTCTGCCTCCAGTTTCCTTCTCTATTTGGGTTCCTGCCCTAACTGATTTCAATGACTGATGCGCTGCAATATGGAAGTATGAGTGAAAGAAACCCTTCCCTCCCTAAGCTGCTTGTGGTCATAGCGTTTCAGCACAGTAACAAAAATCCTGACTAAAACAACCTTCCTGTTCAACCTCAGAGTGGCAACTTATTCTGTCCGTTCATTCTTTCTCTTAAACCACTGCAAACCCGAACTCCTATAGAAAGGAAAGGCTCTATCATTTTCACTAGGTGAATAGCACTTATCTGGTGTGCTCCAGCTCTGTCTAACAGCCTCGAAGACAGAGGATCTCTCCTCCCACATAAACAAAGACTAGAATATCTTTAATTGGGGATGAGGGATTTCAGCAATCTATGCAAGGCACCTCCCTTTCCACCATAATTGCAAACCTTGGACTTCATACTTTCGAAATCTACCAAAGCCAGGCAGGGTGGCACACGCCGATAATCCCAACACTTGGGAAGCTAAGTTAGAAATATTGTCTCAAGTGTGAGGAGCAGAGTTCAAGTCCTCAATACCCATGTAAATGCTAGGGAGTTATGGCAGTCCGCTTGTCATTCCTCCAGAGTGGAGACAGGGATTCCTTAGAGGAAGACGGCCGGCTAGACTAGCCCAAACCTCGAGCTCTGAGAAACCCTGCTTCAACACATAATAAGAAGGAGAGTGAGAAGGAAGGCACTGACAATCAGCTTCTGACCTCCAGATTCACATGCACACACACATACACACACACACACACACACACACACACACACAATTTTCTATTTTAAAAAGAAGAAAAAAATGATGATTTTTTTTTCAGTGCTAAGGATTAGCACACATGCTAGGCAAGTATTCTGCCACTGAACT